TTTTACTCATATAGCCCAATATCACCAATCATAAATTTGCCTCAAGGGGCTTTACAGTCTGTACAGGATAAGAAACCCTCTGTCCTAAGACCCTCAATGTGTTGTATTACGCCTTTGTTTTACTGCAGATAGGACCACAGCTAAGCAGGGTTTCTTGAAAAAAGGTGTATTTGTGCTTGTGTGTGTAGCTTGTCACTCTGGAAGTGGCATCAGGCTGAGGACCTTTGGCATTCGCAGGTGGTGGACAGTGAATATCTGCCAGCCTCATCCATATCACCCACAGTACCCTCTCTCCTCCCACCATGCCTCACTGGTGGTCATCCTCTCGCCGTTCTTCTTCCACTTCTTCCACCCGCCCTCAATGCCACCCTCCCCTAGGGTGCCAGTGTTCCCTGCGAAGGTCTTGCGTGTGACAAACATGTGTGATGAGTCTGTGTGACATGCCATGTGTGTATTTGTGATTTGTGGGGTGTGTATGTCCATGTGTGCATGCGCATGCTGGTGTGTATGCGTTTTATGTGTGACACAAGTGCAAGCCTTTCCTGCTACAAGACTGACATGAGTGTCTGTGAGGCTTTGCTCTTTTCAGACGTGCCTCACACTGGCAGTTGGAGTGTGTGTGTGTGTGTGTGTATGCCTGCCTGCCTTCTAGCGCCTTGCTAGAGACTGACGGCCCCTGACACCTGCCATTTGGACGCTTTTCTCTGTGAAAAATGTCATCGTCTTCAGACCCGACGTGTGTGTGTATGTATGTGTGTGTGTGTCTGTCTGTGTGAGACAGAGAGATTGTGCGTCCCTCAATTTGTCTCCCTGAGGTCAAGCTTTGCAGCTGACTGAACAATGGACCCAAGCTGTTTGAGCAGCCGGCACAGAGAAACTTATGTGTGTGTGTGTGTGTGTTTTTTACGAATATATTTTGGGCTGGTAATACGTGACACCACATCTCCTTCTCAGGCCAATCCAAGTATTTTGAACAAACTGAGTTTTGGACATAGGAAATGCAAGATTGAGCCATTATAGTATGACACTATATACCTGTAGAGGTCTGTGCATGCGATCCTCAGCGCTCTCAAGTCTCCAACTTGAAAGCCATTTAATTTTTTATACTACAACTGGCTAGCCAATTCCCATTGTGCTCCCCGATGCCTTCATGGTAAAGCAGGTTACTTAATAACAATTTTTACCTGATGGAAGATTTTGTTTGTGTTAATTGCTCAGGTAACTTTAGTGAGGTTGCATTGAATGGAAATTGTGACTCAGAGTTCTCACAGTCAACCTGGTACATCCTAAATAAATCCCTATATATAAAAAACAAACGGTGTTGAGATAATACCAGATAAATAAGGTTAAATAACACTGGTTAGTATAGATGTATATAAATAATACATTACTTAGCTTGCAATATATTGCTTGCTCCTCATTTGTGAATATCAACAACTTTCATGTGGAACCATAACCTGGAGCTGAATTTTGGCATATATGATCTCAATGAAAAGAATACAGTCCACAATTAACAGTGACATTAACTATGACTTCATGGACTAGCTCTTAACAAATTGCACTAGAATCATTTTTTAACATCTACAAAGTCATTAACTTTTGATGGAGATGCTTCAGATCCATATGACAAGCTCAAGATTTTGGACCCTTTGAAGAATCTTCTTGGGCCACATATTCACATTCTTTCTTTGTGCATGGGCCCTGAATAACTAGAAATACAGTAGTTTCTTAAAACCAAACATCAATTTTGCATTCTTTTTTTGACCAACAGTGCTGTTAAAGTTTGTAACTGTAAACTAAATATGTCCCATTTTTCCAAGTTGGACATTTTGTCTTAAAATGTAACAATATATTCATAGACAGGTGTAGCTTAAAAATCTTCTTTTCAATAAATTCTGTCTGTCTCTGCTCCAAACTCATACTTTTTGTCCAGTGTATCAGATTAGTTGGTGATGCTATTGCCCCTCTTCTTTTCTGACTGATCTGATGAGTTGTTTCTAATTAAGATTAGGACTGTGTGAGCCAGAAGGCTGTAATGAGGTATCAAAGTGTGTATCCATCTCTTCCTATGTTAGTTATGGTGGTGTGTGTGTGTGTGTGTGTGTGTGTGTGTGTGTGTGTGTGTGTGTGTGTGTGTGTGTGTGTGTGTGTGTGTGTGTGTGTGTGTGTGTGTGTGTGTGTGTGTGTGTGTGTGTGTGTGTGTGTGTGTCACGCCCAACGGTGCATCTCAAAGACGAACAGATAGGGGAGCCAGTTTGTGACTTTGCCCCAGGATGGGACAGGGCTAAAGGCAGGCCTGTGTTTATGTGTGTATACAATTGAGAGCAAAAGACTGCGAATAAATGATAACCCTACAGGGCCACCAAGTCATCGCTTTACACCAAGGGGCGACCATTGACTTTGTGTCTACGAAAGTATGTGTGTGTCTCTCAACGCTTCGACCATCCACCCACTTAGGCCGGAGAGCTGGAGAGCAGACAACCTTCTGCTGACTGCCAGGATGATGCCCTCAGTATGATGAATGCCATGGACGCTATGGCATGAGGGCTCAGAGCTGTATCCATGACAGTGCTGTTACCCAGCAGCCCCAGCGGCAGCCTTAATTAAGTTAGACATGATAGTGGCTCGTGGCCTCCCTTTCTTTTCTCCCCATATCCTCTTATCCTGATTTTTTTGTATGTTCCTAATTATATGTTTTATTTTTTTTACTTTTGTCTGCCTCATCTCTCTCCTTTTGTTTCTTTTTGTTATTCTGGTTCTTTTTCTTGAACAAAAGGCAACGTAAGGCACTCCCACTCTTTAACTTGACCTGTCATACTGTCTCTGAATAAGGGTGGAAAGGAGGTTAGAGGTGTGCATTCTGTTTTTCCCATGTGGCATAACAGAAAGCCTTGTCTGTCTTCATACTCTGTGTATAAAGAGAGAGCTGCATGAGATTGGGGTAGTGTGGATATTTTTGAATGATGATCATTTAATCTTCTCAGCATAAATAAATGCGTGTGCGTGTATGTGCGTGAGACAGTGTGTGTCGGGTTAATGACCAGCTCTGCTTTATCCTCCTTGAAGGTCATGTGCCAGTGCTCGTTAGTAGTGTCACCATGTCGATATGTCAGCTGTCAGCATGATGGATTGGGAGTTAACAAAAAGAACAGTGAGGCGGAGGAAGCGATGAATAGAGAGGATGGGAGAGAGGGAAACGGAGAAAGGGAGGACAAGTTCATTTAAATGTGATTCTCATCAGAAGGCCTCTGCCACTCCTCATTAACAAGATACTTGTAATTGGCAAGGTTGTTGTGGCAAGGTCCAGGCCTCTGGGAATGTGTATGTGTGTGTGAGAGAGAGAGCATGAGTGTGTACCACAGAAGACCTCATTCTGTGCTGTGGACATTGGGGAGGTGCTGACCTCCTCGTCATATTGTTCCGCCCTGAGGATAAAGCCCCACTTTCTTCTTCCAATCCTCCTTTTCTCTCTCCATCCACCCGAGAGAATAGAAGGACTACACAACATGACAGCGTCAGTTGTATGTCTGTAGCATTAACACGGGTATCAGTGGCTTTGTTGTACCACCATCCTGTCTCTGTGGTGATGGATGATAAGCGGCCTGCTTTAGACTGAATGCATTAACATCGGAAATGGTATAATTTGTTGCCATGTAAACCATGTTGTCATGTAGAAACTTTTTTGTTGTCAAGTTCTAAAACATCAATAATACAGAAATTGGCATATGAACCTCAGCTCAATTTCAGCTGAATTAAATGGAACTGCAAGTTTGCAAGGGGGGAGTTATTTGAAATATGAATAAAGGTGTATTTGCAAGTCATTCACTATTGATTGTAATTTCCAACCTGTCATATTTTCACAAAAATATCCAGTCTTAGTCCTAAATATTAACAGTAATTTAAATATTGCTTCTAATTTGATATCTAAACAGGTACATTATAGCATTAAAATAGACTAAGCAGTACTTTAATGAATATTTATTAGGACTGAATGGTATAAATGTGGCTGGATCAAGCTTGTGCTTGTTTTTGTGTTGTACTTCAGATGGAAATGTCTCTTTTCACCTAAAAAGCCCACTAAAATCTGAAAAACTCTGAAAATATTTCAGGTGGAAGTAGGACATACAGTGTCTGAATCTTTACGTGCCATATTTTAAATGTTTGTTGATGAAATGTGGGACTTGTGATGCTTGTGACAACAGTTTGTGTCTGCATGAACATTACCTCATATTTTAGTGGACAGTTTCATTAGAAAACAAGAGACACACTTTGTTCCCTTCACTAATTAGTTTAAGCTGTTGGCTGCAATTCAGAAGCTGACTGCAAATTTTGGAGAAATCTGTGGGAAATGAGTCATTATGCAAAAATTTTATTTTTTGTTATCAGGTTTACACAAGAATGAAGTAAAGCTTATCATCTTATTGATGTTCTGGGCAAGAACATCTAATTCTCAATTTCAGTCATGACAGTAATGTACTGACAAATAGCAGTACACCCCAGTGACCTCTAGATGGCTGTAGTGTCATATAAATGGTGAGCACACTGTCCAGGTCTATTGACAGTGTGTTTTTTTTATTTTGATAATGTGGTTATTTTTACCTAGCTGAATAAGAATTCCTAGAGGAATTTGAAAGATTGTAATTGGGCTGTTAATTTTAAGGCAGGATGATGGTGATGGTGCTATTTTGGCCAAAATGTCTGTAATGCAAGCTACGACTCTGGTTGACCCAGAGTCAAATGAGGAACCAGTTTGAGAAGTTGTCAGTTGTATTATTTAAGGAGCAAGACAATGGCAATTAATTTCCTTGCCATTATGTTTTTCAAGTAGTGATAACTAACTCAGTATGTTTTTTATTTCCTCCCTTTGCTATTTCCTCCCTTTGCTATTTCCTCCTTCTGCTTCACTGCCCAACCTGCCTTATTAATATTTTTTAATTTTTAATCTCTGTACCATCATCTACCCTTTCCCTCTTTTTTTTTCTTTCCCTTTCTTTCCCCAGTATAACCAATGAGGCAGGAGCATCCATCTACAGTGTGAGTCCTGAGGCTGTTAAAGAGATGCCAGACTTGGACCCCAACCTTAGGAGTGCAGGTATGCTAGCCATTATTATTTTTCTTGGCCATGCTTTAAATGCGTCTTTGTATTTAGCAAAGTTACTGGTGTTGTGGAACTTTAAGCTATCGCTAATTTCCTAGATTAATTGTTTTGTCAATAAAATGTCGTGAAAAATTACCATTTCATAGAGCCCAAGGTGACCTAATCACATTTTTGTTTACATAACAACATAATAATGATAAAGATTGGTTTTGTCATTTAAGTAACACAAAGTGATCATAATACTGGTGAGGACGAAGCATAATAGTTGAAAACTAATGCGTAATTTTCTGTTTTTCACACACTAACAAGCTAATTCTTTACCACTCTCTTACCAGCAACATGCTATATTGTCACATTATCAATGAATTTCTAGCATTGTTATTAGATTCTCTTATGTGTCTCCTGCTTTCCTTTGCCTCTCTCCCTCCTTCTCTCGCTTGCTACCTCTCCCTTACCCACTCCACATACTATATCATTGAAAACACAGTAGCATGAAAAAGAATCAATGTGTAGAACAAATGTTTCCAGCAGACTTCCTCTATAAAAGCCATAAATCAAGTGAGGCTGGATTATTCCCCACTAGCTTGCTGTGGTCAGCAGCATTGAGAGCCATGGAGAGCCATATTTATACTCTTAATGAAAGCCATGAGAAGTATACAGTGTTTAACTTTGGATAGGTATAAAAAGAGGGGGTGCTGAGCGAGGACACTTTGGTTACAGAGTCAGATGTGGTGACGGTGTCTGTCTGTTTTACCTTTGGGGGGAAGTATGTGTGTTTCTGCTTCTGTCTATATGAATAGGCATGTACCATAGTATTAAGGGAATTGTGAGTTATAAGCACCTTCCATCCCCCGCGACCCTGTACGCAGGGTAAGCGGTTGACAATGGATGGATGGAGGCACCTTCCATCTTCTATTTTTGGGAGATCTAGGGACACCTAGTGGTGACAGATGATATTTCAACCATTCTCCGTGAGGACTGTTTTTGTGTTCAGCTTATTACTGTGCTCCTGTCCAATCCAAAACAGAGTGAGAAAATAGAAGAGTGACCACAAAGAGAAATTATTTGAGTGTCAGTTTTCCTGGACAATTTTCACTTACTGAATGCCTGTTGAATCAGTACTGCATCTTTTCAGTTGCATTATTTTAATTAACACTTTCCAACAAAATCAATGCACCCACAACACAGTGGTACCACCGTCCCACCTGAATGCTAAACGTCACATTCTACCTCTTTTCCTGAGAATTGTCTGAACGGGGCCTTCCTCTCTTTTCGCTTTCTTCATTGCTTTCAGTTTTTGTAGAACTGTATTTGGCTCATAAAGTTTCAATAAGTGCATTACGCTCCATTTATAATTCGGCTCTTCTCAGAGAGAGAGAGCGAGAGAAGGAGAGAATAGATTGAAAGAGTATTGCAGAGTTTTGGTGGTGCACTGAGCAAGGCCACGGTTGAAACTCCATCCCTGTCTAAATATTATCTCAGGCAGCAGCCTCCCACCACAGCCAGAGGAGAGGAGAGCCATTGATTCCAGACATACTCCCTCTATTACATCCCATCCCTCTCTTTCTCTTTATCTGTCCGTTCCTCCTTAAAGATCTAAGTCTGAATCATCGCTGACCACTGAAATTCAACCACACACATAATGAACACATACAAGACAGTGGCAAGCAGCAGCACAGGAAGGATGGGGAAGGGGACAAACTGTGTCCTGTAACTTCTGATTCATCATAGTGTGTTGAATCCTAAAATAGATGTGTTTAAGATTTTGGTCAACCTCTATTCCTTGATAGAAGTCAAACCATTAGAGCAAATTAGATACGTCATGATAGAGAGATAAATAACTATTTAACAGTTTTGTGCGTTTGTGCTCCCAGTGCGTTTATTATTTTCACTTGTTCCAACTTTGAAAGTTAGAAGAATAATAAGGTAAGGTGTTAACAGACCGAGTTGCCACGTCCTTTGTATTTTACAGGGACAGGAATGTGAACAGTTATTTGGTTGTGTTATTCTCTCCCTCTCTGTGTGCCTGTGTCGGGGATGATGTCATGTATTATGGTGTGTATGTGAGTTAGGTTGTTTGTAATTTTTCTTCTTGTCACTAGGGCCTGCCAGCGTATTCATGGAAAAGACATTTGGCTTCATGTGCAGCAGCATGCTGAGGCCTTACAGCCTCCAACGTTAAAAGCAAACCCTGCTTCGGTCGAAACAGACTGTGTTTGTTTATTTGTGTGCTACATTTGGCTGTGTGTGCACAATTCTAGTTAAATTAGTGGTTTTAAGGGTTCATGGCTCCAGCATCTATCAGGAGCTAAATGACAGGTGCAAAGACTCCAGTTGAAAGCAAGCTTTAATTACTATCATTGGGGGTGGAGGAATGACAATTAGGTTTGTCCTCCCCTCAGGCCAACACTGTAATATGAGGACAATTTGCATATTCAGTAATTATAAATTGTATGGATTTGCATTTTCAATAAATGTGATTCAGATAGCAAGTTGTGTTGAAAACACTAACCATAGAATCTCATGCTTGCTTCCTCTTTGTGTGTGGATGTGCATGTTGCGCGTGTGTCTGTGTGGGTGTGTTTGTGCGTGCATGTTGACAGTGTCCATTGGAAGACGTGTCCAAGATCCACTGGCTGAGCTTGTGAAGATTGATCCTAAACATATTGGCATTGGAACATACCAGGTAAGTCTGTTTTTGCTTTTTCTGTTGGGACGCTCCTTGTGGGTAAGAGCTTCTTGTCCCTGGGCAGTGGAACATCTGCTATGTGTTACACTCAAGCAAAGAGCAGAGAAGAAGAAGTGTGTGTGTGCGTGCGTGTGTGTGGTGGTGATTGGTGTAAAAGCACATTAGCAATAAACCATGATGGTACACACGTGTATTGTTAAAGCACTGCTATAGTCTGCTGTAATTACTTATTTGCTATAAAATGGCAAAGATGCGCCATGAATGTTTGATGATTGTTCTCTGTATTGTCTTATTTATTTAACCAGCATGGTCTCTTTAAGTGAGTCCTGACCAAAATGGCAGCATGATTATCGGACAGGAACCAACGCACAACCAACATTCACAGAAGGAATAATAATAATAATAATCTTTATTTGTAGACCACTTTTCAAAAACAAGTTACAAAGTGCTTTAACAAGTGTAAAGACAATAATACCCAAAAAACAATAATACCCAAAAAAACAATAATACAAAAACAATACAAGATTATGACTAAGACTAAAATACACATTTAAGATAAATATAAAATTAGTTACTAGAATAAAATAAAAGGGATAAAATAAAGTCAAATAAGATCGGGAAAGGCTCTCCTATAAAAGTATGTTTTAAGAAGGGACTTAAAAGAGTTCACTGACTCAGCCGACCTGGTTTCCTCGGGCAGGCTGTTCCAGAGCCTCGGGGCCCTGACAGCAAACTCTCTGTCCCCTTTAGTTTTCAGTCGAGACTCTGGAACAGACAACAGACCTCTGCCCGAGGATCTCAAGGTACGTGCTGGTGTGTATGGGACTAAAAGTTCAGAAATATAACAAGGCGAGAGGCCATGAAGAGCTTTAAAAGAGATCAATAGAATTTTAAAGTCAATTCTAAAACATACTGGGAGCCAGTGTAATGAAGCTAAAACAGGGGTAATGTGGTCATATTTCTTTGTTCTGGTTAAAAGCCTGGCAGCTGAGTTCTGGACAGTCTGGAGTCGATCAATAGATTTTTGAGTTAAAAAGGTAAAAAGGCTGTTGCAATAATCCAGGCGTGATAAGGTGAAGGCGTGTAAAATGGTCTTGGTGTCCTTAAAAGTTAAGAATAAGAGAGGAGAAGAGCATAACAACATAACATTAAAAAATTGCAGTTGTATATTTCAAGCCTTAAAACATCAGTCTTTAAAAACACAGTGACTGGCATTACCTTGTATTCTATGCAGTATGTACAGTGTGCTCTGGTCTGCTGTTAATTTTATTATTTTACTAGTTTAGTTTTGTCTTTTGTAATTCTGGCAAAGCAGAAATTGGGACTTGAGGCATAAATGCGAGTAAGGGATTGAAGATGTAATGGGTCGAATGAGAAAAACTTGGAGGTTGAGAGAAGAGAGGCAAGCAGGGAAGTAGATAAACTTGGCTGAGGCCTGTGTCAACAGATGATGCTAAGGGTGACAGCTAATTCAATTAATGGAGATCAGGCATGACGTATGTTTGGACATTTGTTTTTTTTTCTTGCCTGCGCACTGCCCATATGCGTTTAAGTGTGTGTGGAGATGATATAACAGTTAGCTCAGTGTTGATTTTGTTCATTGCAAGTGTGTGTGTGTGTGTGTGTGTGTGTGTGTGTGTAATTGTGCGAGAAAGGCAATATAAGCATTAGGTCAGCGTGCTTACTATTTACACCAGTTATTAAAGCAGTTCTCCCATATATGGTAGGTTGTGGGGGGAAAAAGGGTGAGGGAGAGGATGGAGATGGGAACAAAATGGATTGAGGATGACGAAGGCAAGTAGAATAAGGTCAGACTATCAGACTGGAAGCTAAACATGAGACAACCAATAGCGAGCAATGCTGTGGTCATAGCATCCAAGTAATAGCTCTAACAAATAGTCTTAGGTTATCTTGATTTATTTTTTTATTTAAAAGACAGAAGCATTATCAGGAGATGGATAGATAAATAGATAGTCTTCAGTAAAGCAATCTTTTGGTTCTAGTGGAAGAATTCCTGTTTTGCTGATGGAAGTGCATAGGCCATTCAGTGACAAGGCAGCAGTGAGAGAGAGCAGTCGATGTAAGGCTGAGTGCAGGGCTGCAAGTCATGATTTCTTTCATGATTGATTTATCAATTGAAACAATAGTCAAACAACAGTAAATTGCCCAGTTTGATGAAAGTGGGATGTTTTTCTTGCACATTTTTTCAGTCCACAGTGATCTAAAACAGGGAAAGGCAGCAAATCCTTAGATTTCAGAAGCTGAAATTGGAATTTTTTGTTTGATAAGTAGCAAATAGCAATAAATCAGTTATCAGAAATTGTTGTCAATAATTTTTTCTTCATTAGCTAACGGATTCATTTACTAGCCTTATTGTTTCAGTTCTAGTGTTGAGTCTACCTTGGGATTTAGAGAAGACTTATACATCCTGTACACTAAGCCAGTGATGTACAGCACATACATTATGGTTGAGATTTATTTATACTTTCTAACATTTAGCACTTGCACTTGGGCCACGTAAAAGTCATTTGCTGGTGTTGGCGGACAGAGTACATTTCAGTATAAAGAAAGAATATCCCAATTGGAAGTCACTCAAATTAGATGGGGAAGAGAAGGAAGGGGGGTTAAAACAAGGACACCAGAGGGGAGAATTGAAAGCAAGGGGAGGAGGTCATATTGTGCAAGTGCTTGTGCTTATGTATGTGTGACTGAGTGTGTTAGGTCACAGGCCCGTGTCTCTCATCACGTCCTGACTGGGCTCTCTGGGGTGCCTGGAGTTCTACACCTCCCGCTCTCAGATCATGTGACTAGGTCAACAAATGATAATATAACCGGGTAAATAAACTCTGGTTGCTGACAGATATGAGATGGGACATCACTTTGACCTGCGTGTCAGCTCACGCGAACACACACACACACACACACATGTACACACCGGACTCCCTATCCCTTTTCAGAGTCTACGTGTGTGTATGTTTGCATTCGTGTATATACATTTGTTTTGTGTGGAAGAATGAGTGTGAGAAAAGTGAACTCCTGCATATGTGTGCTTTCTAGCAAGTTCTTTTGTGTGATTCATGGCATTCTGAGCTTTCTGAAGGTTTATTGCCATTAGACCCAAAAAGCATAGGGCAGATGTAACTCTAGACAGCTGGCACAGCATGCTCCCTCTTTCTCCCTCCCTCTGCTGACCCAGTGAGTGACAGCTCTGAGAGAGAGGAGGAAATGAGCTGAGGGCTAAAAAAGTGAGGCCCATTAAAATCACATTGGACATAACTATTGGTGTGGGAACACTGTTTTCACTACAGCACCACTAGCTGACAGGTTTTTCTGGATACTGACTTTGAATGGAGAGACAATGCTATTAGGATTAGGACAATGCTATGTGTATTAGTGCTTACCAGTAGTACAAAACATTTAAAAGGCGACTGATAATCTTCAGGATTTAAGAATAATTGTATTTATAGTTCAGAACACTTACATGGACAAACACATTAGGAGTATAGTATCCTGTATAATTAGATACTTAGTGGGTGTGGCCTTTGGACAGCTCCTTCATCTGTCAATAAGCCCTTGATGTTGCTGTGCTCTGTTGACAGCTGGGTAATTCCCAGGGGTGTGTAACTAACTGCTACTGGAAAGTACACACAGATATACACACTGCTGTGTAAGAAAACATTGCCCACAAGCCGGATATTAAAGAAACTGTCACTCTTCCCCACACCTCTTTTAACCTTTCTCCTTCTGTCATTCCATCTTTTTGCTACAATTTTCCAGCTTTTGTCCCAATGACTCCCCTTCCTCTGCTTTTTAAGCTTATTAGAACCATGTATCAGTTGAGCCCGAAAATAGTATTGATATTTGAGGGTTTAAAAAACCTGATAAAAATAAATCAACAAAAGAACATCTCTTTGGCATTTCTGAGCTGCCGGTCAGCATGTTAATCGGCATCGGCCGACACCTACACTCACAAGGCCGATATACAAAATATGTCTGTGGACACAACTGCAGCAGCCTTGTCAGTGTTGCTGCTATGGAACGATGTTAGTGCTCCCCATCATGAGTTTTAGGAAGGTGGTGAAAAAGTTAGTTTTAAGCCCTAAATCTTCTTTTTAAAGAGGTGGTATTATGCTAATTTTCATGTTAAAAATTATATTTAGGGGTTGTACCAGAACAGGTTTACATGGTTTAATTTTCTAAAAACACCATATTTTTCTCATACTGCACATTGCTGCAGCTCCTCTTTTCACCCTGAGCTGTACACTCTGCTCTTGAGCTACAGAGTGATGCATCTTACTTGTACAAAATCATTGTTGGGAGTTGCACATGCGCAGTTCCCAGGTAAGGACTACTAGCCAATCAGAAGCAGAGAAGGGCGGGTCGTAACAAACAAGGTAGTGTGATCCAAATCAAAGCCGTTTCAGGCGACCGTAACCTAGCAGATGGTATAAGTTACTCACAAGTCCACAACCATACAACATCATTGTTCCACATCTTACCATAAACCACTACAAAAATCACCATATTTCAACTCGATTTTACATAAAAATTGGCCAAACAATTTGAACGTTTGCTCAGTAGCTTTCACATCAGGTGTAACGTTAGCATTATAGCTATAACTTTATCTGTGTTAGCCAGCGTTTACAACAACTCCGCATTTGAACAGTCTGTGAAGTTACATTTACATTACATTTATTTTAAATATAATTCACAACCAATAAAGCGTACTTACAGGTTGTGATTGTGAATTTCCAGGCCCAAACAGAGTCGGAGTTGCATCGTCTTTTAGGACTAAACGTTGAACTGTTGCCGGTGTTCTAACGATCTATGCTGCCTTGCCGAAAAATGCTACCATAGCGCAAATCGATAGACTCGACTCTACTCGGCCCTGCTCCGTTTTCCATTGCAGTTAGTACCCAGAGATAGTACATAGCTTGTCGCCATAGCGACGCCACACACAACTGCCGTGACGTAATGTTTAATGTGACACACACACC